CAAAATGCTTAAACGGAATATGGAACGGAGAAGGATATCCGGAAGAATGGAGGAAGGGAATAATAGTACTAATATATAAGAAAGGGAGGAAAGAAGAAGTAGGAAACTATAGAGGAATAACGCTGATGGATACGGGATATAAAATATATGCGGAAATACTGAGGAAAAAGCTGGAAAGAGAACTAGAAGCTAATGAAACGCTAAGTGAGAGGCAGATAGGATTTAGGAAGAAAAGGGGAACAATGGACGCAATATATATATTAAAAACAATAACAGGGAAGGAAATAAGGGAAAAAGGAGGAAAACTGTTCGTATTCTTTGCAGACATGAAGGCCGCTTATGATAAAATAAAGAGGAAGAAAATATGGGAAAAAAATGAAAGAGAATGGGATAAATAGAAAAATTAGGAAAGGAATAGAAGAAATATATAAGAAAATAGAGAGTAAGGTAAAAGTTGGAGGAGAAATAATTGGGGTGTTTGAGACTTACAAAGGCGTAAGGCAAGGGTGCCCTTTGAGCACCACGCTATTTAATCTTGCCTTCGCCGACCTGGAAGTGAAGATCAAGCAGGTGCAGGAAGGAGGGGTAGTGATCGGAAGGAAGAAAATATGGACTTTAGGATACGTAGATGATATAGTGATGATGGCAAAGAGTGAAAGTGGAATGAAAGCAATGCTAAAAAAATTAAAAAGATACCTGGAAGAAAGGGGATTAGAGTTAAATGTAGGAAAATCAAAGATGATGTATTGCAGGGGAGGAGGAGGAAGGAAGATGAATGCGAATGGGAAGATGAGAAGATAGAGATGGTGAAAGAGTACAACTACTTAGGATATGTGATAAACAGAAATAACGGAAATAAAAAGCAGATAAAGAAGGTAGAAGGGAAAATAAATATGGGAGTCGGATGGCTATGGGGGCTAGGAGAAAAACTATTTAGAGAAAACTGGGTGCTAAGGATGAACCTGTTCGATGCCCTGGCGAAAAGCGTGATTATGTATGGAGCAGGAATCTGGGGATGGAACAGATATAAGGAAATAGAGAGATTACAACTGAAATACATAAAGTGGGTATTAGGATTAGATAGAAACACGCCAAGTTACCTAATACGATGAGAAACAGGAAGACAAGAAATGAAAGAAACAGCATTAGAAAGAGCAATGAAGTATGAAAACAAAATAAAAGAAGAAAGAGATGGCTTAATAAGAAAAGAAGCATGGAGAGAATTAAAGAAAAGGGAAAGAAATGAAAAAGATAAAAAGGGTAAGAAGGAGGAGAAAGAGGAAAGGCTGGAAAAAAGTAAAATATACAGAGAGAGAAAAAAGGGAGATGAAATGAGGGAAGAGTTTTGGGAAGAAATAAGAGATGAGCTGAAGAAAAAAGATGAAAAAGAACTAGAAGAAAAGCTAGAAAAATCAAGATACATAAACGATTGGAAAGATCTGAAAGAAGAAATGAAAAGGTATAGGTTAAAGGAAATTCAAGGAGAGAGAAGAATAAAAGGCCTGCAAATAAGGGAAAGGTTTAGGTTAGGTAATGAAACGAGAGGAAGCAGGTATTGGGAAAAAGAAGAAAATAAGAGATGCAGAATGTGTATGAAAGAAGAAAAAAATTGGAAGCACATGGTAGAAAAATGTGAAAAAAGCAGAAAGGAAGGGGAAGAATGGGAAAAAATAATAATAGGAAGCAAAGAAAAGATAGCGTGGATGATGGAGATAAAATGGAAAAGAAGAAGAATTTAAGAGAAGAAAGAAAAAGAAAAGCAAGAAGACGAAGCTACAAGACCCTAAGGAGAGATAGAAACAGAAGACAGAGAAGCAAGACTCGCAGACACATCTACACACACATACATACACACACATACACACCAAACACAAAAATACGCGCAAACATAAACATACACATGCACACACACACACACAAGACACAAGTAACAGCAACTACACAAGCGAGAGGAAGCAGGTATTGGGATGGAGCAAAATGGAAAAGAAGAAGAATCGAAGAAGAGAAAGAAAAAGGTAAACTAGAAGGCAAATCATTAGATACTAAGGAAAAATAAGTGAGGTTGAGGAAAGGAAAGGCAGAGGGAGCAATAGGAAACAAGAAAAAGGTGTCAAAGCCTTAATAAGGAGAAAGATAGATGAAATGATTAGCAAGTAGGAGAGCAAAAGCAAAGGAAAGGCAAAAGTGAAAAGGTAAAAGAAAGTAATAAAGGAAAAGCTGAAAAGAAAACATGCAAGAGAAAAAAAAAACAAAAAAAAAACAGAAGAGTGGAAAAGGCAGATCTTGGAGAGAGAAAGAGGAAGAGAAGATTAATCAGAAGAAAAATGAGAAGAAAAGAGGACCAGGCAGGCGCAGAAGACAGGGACACAAGAGTTGCAGACACACCTACAAAGGCACATATTTACACAACACATACAGACACATACGCACGCGCACACTCGCACACATACACACAAAATACATACATAATCAACTACAAATACATAACAAACTGGATACGAGACACAAATAGTAATATAAGAAATATAAACCAAATGTAACATATTAGTTGTAAATAAATAAACTAACTTATAATCCGACACTCGATATCGCAATTGTAAAATAAATAATTGAACGTTTATAACGTTTTTCGCTTGTTTATTAAAAGGAAAAATGTAATAGCGATTTTCTTTAATATAATGGGGAAGCATATGGATACACTTATAGGCGTTTATATTTATAATATTTATTCTAGTCTCTTTCACAACATAAATAAGTTAAGCAGAATAGAGATATATATATATAAATTCTCAGACGCGTAATTTTCGCCTCGCGATGTCTATTATTCTTTTGGTTACATAAAAAGTGTTACTCACTTTGTATTAATATTGTAAATATAAATTGGTCCAAAATATTATTTGCTTCGTGATGTGCCCAATCACTTTTTCTTTGAATCTGATCAGATTAACTGGTCCAATATATTTTTTATCCAATAGTGTAGCAACACACAAGAAAATGATAATTTCTATGATTTTCGTGGTCCAATATATTCTTTATCCAATAGTGTAGCAACACACAAGAAAATGATAATTTCTATGATTTTCGTGGTCCAATATATTCTTCATCCAATAGTGTAGCAACACACAAGAAAATGAGAATTCCTATGATTTTCGTTTACACAAAATTATTAAAACAATTGTACTCGACACTTCTAATACTTAATTGTAACTCGAACAATTATATTCTCAAACTCTTATTATAGATTTAACTTCAGTAGGAAAAATGCAGGCTTCTTAGTTGAGCGCTCACTCCTAACTAAAAAGCTAAAAAAGATCCCGTCGTTGTTTTCGCCGGTTCATTATATATCTTTTGTCCCTCGTATTCCGTCTCTCTCTCTCTCTCTCTCTCTCTCTCGCATATATGCTTTAGACGTTTACGCTTCTCGTGTCGGCTCGTCTTACCTAGCTAAGCAGGCTGACCGAAGCATGCTGTCGCAGCATGCTGCCGGAGCGCGAATCAGCCTTTGCCGCTCATTCCCACCGAGTCGCGCATACGAATATTGCTAGCTATACTATGTCCGGACGGAAATTGCGAGAGCGAAATATTATTTGACAAAATACAATTATAACACAATGAAACGTCACGTAACACCTTATCTCAATTTGTAGTTATTTCATATGCATATATTTTGTATATTTATATGAATCGGTACTTATGTAGATATTTCACCATTTATACTGACAAATAACCTCTTGAGTTTTCCTAAATTGGTACAGCACTCGCACGCGCATATGGGATAGGGGATAGTTGAATGACGAAAGCAGAGACCTGACGCTCGAAGAAGTTTCGCACTTGACTTCTTTATTTGATTGTGACAGTTGAGTCGTTAACAAAAAAGGCGTGGGTGGCGTTGGGGTCCGAAATTGGTATTAGCCTATGTTGTATCTATTACAACATTAGCTAATACCTCCTCAAATATCTTTTTAAATGAATAAAACCATGTCTATATCAATTAAGAGTTGCTGCTATTGTATCACATTTCAAATGAAGAGAGAATGGATGCGATGGTACGGAGGTCTAGAATGGAAGCTAGATGACCAGTAAACTCATGTTTGCCGTACCTAAGAGGAAAGACTGTCGATCAAACTCCACAGTCTTTACAAAAAAGTGATTAGGCGAAACGCCCTATCACTTGGCTTGCATGGAAAGTTGCGGTGTGGCTCTTCCTTCTTCGGTAGTGTATATGAAAAGCAGTGGCCTACTTCTGTCGTGTGCTGTCTGTGCGGTCTAGCGGCGTCTTAGTGTCATATATGCTGTATATGTCACAAAAAAAATACTTCAGTATTTATAATAACTATTAATAGCTGATACAATAGCTCTCGTAGGATGAAATTAGTATTCTATAAATAAAACTATAAGTTAATAAAATTGTGTATGTATTTTAATTACATAGGCCGACAGCCAAATAAACCCAGATACGTGATTAGGTGTACCCGAAGGCTTTTGATGCACTGTATCGAAAGCCGGCGTCAGAATTCGTCCATCATCTCTGGTTCTTGAGATATCCTAACTCAAAAGCGCTAAAAGCTCACCAAAAAGGCGAAGAGATAAAAAAAGCTTTTAATAATTTATTTAGTGGAAACCCAGAGTAGATTAATGTGATATTCATAGATATTGATAATGAAAAGATTCTAATAATTCATATATATGTCATCATGATACGACGAGGGATATATTGATAATAATTAACATATATCGATACGAGGATTCGGAACATTGAAAACATTATCATTTATCCCCGTTATTTAGTAGACAATTTTCTTAGATAGATACAAGTAGAATCAAACAAAATAATTTATTCTATTCAGAATATAAGCGGACCGGCTAAAGAAATATATCCGCTAGAATATAGTATAATTTAAACTGCCTTCGGTTTCAACCAATTTTTCGAAGTTATATTTCTTTTCTAGCTTCTAATAAGAAATATATCTTAAAATGATAAATTATGTGTTAATACTTACGGTATTCATTGATATAGCATCTTTCAAATTAGATTCCAATTTTAATGTTGCTGCACAATGGAAAACGATATGAACTTCATTATGTAAAACTTGAACTTGTTCATGATCAAGTCCTAAGTTTTCTTTAGTTACGTCGCCAGTTAAGGATACTAATTTATTGAAAGCATTTGGATTTACTTTTTTGATATGATCAAATAGCTGAAACATATATATATACATATATATATATATATATAACTAATATGATATGACATCTAGTTCAATTAAAACAATTCAAAAAATTTTATATCGGGAGGTTTTCGATTTATTTATTTCAATAATATTATCTTATTTCCAAGAATTTATAACAATATTCCTCAAAATTTGTGTTAACAACAGGGCTAATTTTATCAGATCTTCATAATCAACATGTAAATGAACCTCTTCTACAAGACGTATAGCTAATTATATCAATAATAATGTATGGAGTATTAAATTCGCCAAATTATAACAATTACTTTTATAAAATGTAAACTTTTTTCTACTGAAATTAGGAGCTTGTGCTACGACAATATAGTGACTGACTAAACATTAATGTATTGTAACGTAGAATCACGGTCTTGCCGATTCGTCCCTTGGCTCTCACAATCGATGTTTGCCACCTTCAGATTGAGAATATATGTGTATACATTCTTATGCCCGTTTCTCTGTTTGAGGTGTGGCGAACAAATTGATTGGTAGATCCAGGAGTAGCAGATGACTCAAGTGGAACGAGAAAACGACTACAAGGAACGTAAAAGCAATAAATAGATAGAGAAAGAAAGAGAGAGAGAGAGCTGTGAATTGTACGCAAAGCCGCAATTCACAGATTTAAAAAGACAACTAATAACAGCTTTATTGCTGGATTATGCTCATCATTGATTATTGTTGTTAATGGTTTTTGTTTATTTTTTCAGGCGCCGTCTCGCCAGGGTTAGTTGAGCCGTTTTCTAAAATACACGTTTGGTGCGAGAGTGTATCAATTTTTTTTAATTTATTTGTGCAAAAAAGAATCTCTCTTAATATATCAATTGATACAGATATTATATATTTAAATTATAATTAAAGATTCAATTTAAAAAAAAATGAGCTATTAATCAACTAACAATTTGTTCCAAATAAATAACTATAAAAATAATAAATATAAATATATATATATATAATGAGTAAAAAATAAAAAAAAGAAGGAAGATGTAAAGATAAATAATTAAATTCTAAATACAAAAATATAGCAACTACAAAAATATATGAAAAGTCTACAGTAACATAATAGCTGTAAACCAATAGCATTCTTGAATGCACGCACTGAGCAGTACCGTATCTCTGATTGATTTGACAATCTATTCACAGTCAAAGATGTAGGATCAATCACTGAAACATAATTAAGATTATTTCTTCTTATGGGGACAGCAAAAGTACCAGGACGTTTACGTAAAACTCTAGAAAATAAAACAAAACTGATTGTTTCATATAAAAAGTCTGAATTTACAAGACCACAACAGATTTTATACAGAAACAATGCTGTTTGATACTCAGTAATTGATGCTACCGAAGCAATGCCAATGTTGTACTGCTAATATGGATCCCAAATAACAGCTACATATGTCAGAATAGAACGCATATGAGCATTGTATAAAGCAATCAACGTACCAGGGTTTCAAAAATCACATGACCCACGCAAAACTGATTACAAAGCCCTTGATGCATACAAACTGCTACTAATAAGTAACACTACCCAAGTGTTAATCGCCGATCATCCTGTAACTTTCAAATTACTTCTATCACATGAATATAAAATACTTTAACCCATTTTTATTGTTTTAACCTATTAACACTCAAAACCATCAATATTACGCCATGTTATCGACCACGAAATTCATGCATAGATGGAAGATACCGTATTTTATGTTTTTGGGCGTTCTAAATATGAATCCGGGTTCAAAATTCAAAACTGTTGAACACAAAATTAAATATGTCTGTTTGTTTATAAAAAAAAATCTCCCAAAAAACCTGTTTTTCTCATTATTGTTCTTTTTCTCAAAAATTATAAAGTCGAGCAAAACGTTCCAAAGGCCAAGCTGTCTTATATCGTCAACGAACTCTCTTGAAATTTTTATATTTAAAGAAACTTTTTTTGAAAATTTCATATTTCGCTCATACGCAATGAACAAGTAAAATCTTCGTACTCATTTAATTTAATTAATTCTTAACATTATCTTGTTCCTATCTTTTCAACATGTCAAAAATAGAATTTACAAATACAGCTTAAATTTATTAATTTTCAAGTTTTGTTTAATCAATGAGATAAGCGTATTGAATATAATATACTGCAATGGTAGTCGATTCAATTAATCGATCCGTTAGCGATTTTGCTTCTCGTGCGTTAGTTCGAACAATTAAGAGAGAGAGGGGCACGCGATCATTTGAATAAGCAGTTACGCCTCAGCTGTTCACGCGAGTTTACCACCGATTTTTGTTTTGCACTTTGTTTCGCTGATATAAAGTTTTCTTGGGACAATTACGTGCGTGAGTGCAACGGCATTTCCGTGACAATTAACAGCAGCAGTGCAGAAGCAGCATAAAAGCTGATAGAGGCAGATCGAGGAAGCGCAGCTGATAAATAGGAGGGCAGCGGCAGTTGATCTATTTCATCAACAATTACGGCTGATCACCGTAATTGCACCGTAGGGTAGGTGCACCTCCCGTCATTATTGTGTGACAAAATACATTCGGTATTTTGTCAATCGTACAAGCGATTTTTTTTGTATTCGTGCCAAGCGTTAGTTCGCGGTAAAATTCGAATTTTCTCTCTCTCTCTCTTTCTCACTGAATAATATTCATTGTAAAATCCTGTTCGCGAGCGTTAGTCTTTCGACCCAATACAGACTGTAGTTATTTTTTATTAATTAAAGTTAGTCAAATTTATTCGCCAATTGCGTAATTTAATTTTCCCAGTAGCTTAGGCGATTTGTAAAAGGCTTAGTTTTAATCCGATTACATCTAGGAGATTAAGTGGATTAGGTGTTAAGTCGCCCATACATAAGATTCATAAAGTGTCACAAGTCACGTGACTTAAGGTGAGTTCAACTCCATTCGACAGAAGACACTTAAGCGAAATTATCTGACGTAAAGGCGAATACACGTATAATCATACGTGTTTAACGGAGCGGCAGTTAGCTCTGCATCGTGGGAGTTTGTTCTTAAATAAATTTCTCATTTTTTAGTTCGTTTCTGGACGAAAAAAATGATTTACACAGATGGATTTTGCATACCAAGCACATCACATGATTGAATTCTTTCTACAAAAGTCACAAATACTTGAATAGTTATTGAAGGAGTAATCAACTGGTATGTCACATTTCGATGGTTTTTGCAACATGTAACCACTTTTGTACCAGGCATACCTGATCATACTTACGAATCGAAAACATGAAAATTGATTATAAGCTAATGAATAAAGTTTAAGAATGTTATTTCTGAAATGCAAATTAATGTTATAGCCATGCGTAATAATTAAATCGAAAACATGTTTTATACAGTTCTTGTAAGGACAAAAAATGTATACATCACATGGTTGAATAAATCCAGTGGTTCCAGCAGGGATCTTCAATATTTTAACTTTTTTATTGCCTATATCGACGTGCTTCAGTTTTTCTTCTGTTTGTCCAGTCCACGAATCCCAGCAAAGAACTCCAGCAATTCGAAGATAAATATCTTGAAACCATATTGATGTCAGGTCTACGATTATTTTTCCAGATGATAAAGCTAGTACATGTATATTATCTACTTTGTATATATTTTTTCTATTGTTGGTCCAAAATGACCATTTGTTTCTTGCAAAACAATTAATAATGGAGCCTTGAATTCTCCATTAGCAGAGATAATAGATTGAATAGTATAAGTGTGTGTTAAAGAATTGATAGATTGTGCCAAGCATTCAACTTTCATAGTTCCTTTAAATATTAAAATTCGTCCTGTATGACATTTTAAACTAAAACCAGACTGATCGGTATTATAAGTATTTTGATTACCAAATTTTACGATTTCCGACCCAACTTTAGCAACAAAATTATTTGCTTGTTGAATAAGCTCTCTTTTATTAGATAGTTGTGCTTGCGTTACAAATTTATTGATTTTACTGGATACAATTCCATGCCTCATTTTGAAATTATGTATATACGTATTTTGGAGAAGCTTTAAACAGTTTTTCAGATAGTAGCACATTGTCTCTTGCTTTGATGGCCCACCTTTTAATATCTAAATCATGGACACATACTGATTTTTCAATTACATTTTGAAAATTTCCAATATTTGTTTTGAAATCTCAAGCAGTTTTTCGAGCCTACTTCACCTTCACTAATCTACTTTTCCGATCTGTACAATTGCTGAACACATTTCACTAATTGAAATGTACTCGTATGTTGCACCCTATTAAAATTAACAGGTCTGTTTTTGTTACTACGCCAAAGATTAATTGCATTTTTATTGTATTTTAGATTTATGCATATTTTTCTAGATTTGTTGCCAAATTTCACATCAATATAATCATTTTCAAACTCTTCTTCAACCACTAAAGGCTCAGGAACTTCATTTTCGTTCGAAAACTTTAAATATTGCAAATTTCTACAATCAGAACTGCGTCAATAGCTTCTTTTATTGAATTTTCTAAATTATTTACATTCTAAATTATTTACATATTCATCAACTGCAATAATCCTATCTATATTATATTCAGGACATCAAATATTTGATATAATAGACGTAAAATATTTTTTGGGTTCATTCTTATTTTTTTTAAAGAACGATATCCTGGCACGAAAAAAATTAATTAATGACAAAGTATCTTTCTACAAACCTACAATACAAATAATACAAAGAAAACTACAAATAATATAATTACAAGAAACTTCAAATACCGTAAACTTCTTTAAAGCTTTCAAAATTATTTTTTTTCGACCCAAGGTTAAAAATTGATAGAAATAACAGTTTACACTCAATTTATTGAACTAAATTAATGAAAATGATTATGAAATCTGTTAAACAAACATAAAATATTACTCAATATTAATCAATATTACTTTTCACGTTGAGTTAGATGCACCTTAATACATCCCCAGCGAAATTATCAACAAGGAACTTCAAATACCAATAGTTAAAGAAGAAATAACTTTAAATTTTAA